CTCCAATAAAGATGTTAAAAAAAAGAAAATAAGTATGTTGGGAAGAGTGAGTTGGTATGAGGAGAGAAAAAGAGACCCACATATTGTTTTTTGCCCTGTGAGCAAAGTCCACAGAACACAGAAGAGGTATAAAGCAAGAGTCTAGAAACTAAAGCAGTCCCGACCTATATAGCAGGGAATTTTAAACTAAAAAAAAAAAAAAAAAAAAAAAAAAAAATTTTTTTGTAGAGGCTGTTAGCAATAATTTAGTCTTACCCTATCCTTTGGCAGATGAGGACATTAGAGCTCCAAAGGCAAATAATTCTTGCCCAAGGTCACTCAGATCTTTAATTTGATATTCTTAGTAGAAAGCGCTAATGTTTTTTAATTCCATAGACCTCTTTACTTATTGTTTGTTAATTTTTATCTATTTTAAATTTTATTTATTTTTTTTTTTTTTGAGATATAACTGACATACAGCACTGTATAAGTTTAAGGTGTGCGGCATAATGATTTGACTTACCATACATCATGGACTGATTACCACAATAAGTTTAGTGAACATCCACCATCTCATAAAGATACAAAATAAAAGAAAAAGAAAAAATATATATATTTTCCTTGTGATGAGAACTCAAGATTTGCTCTCTTAACAGCTCTCATATATAGCACACAGCAGTGTTAATTATATTAATCATACTGTACATCATTAGTACTTATTGATTTTATAACTGCAAGTTTGTACCTTTTGACCATCTTCCTCCAATTCTCCCTCCCCCATCCCCGCCTCTGAACCGCAAATCTGATCTCTTTTTCTATGAGTTTGTTTGTTTGAAGTATAATTGACCTACAACACTATATTAGTTCCAGGTGCACAACATAGTGATTCGATATTTCTACACATTGCAAAATGATCACCACGAGAAAGGCTAATATGTTTAAGACTTGCCTGTTTACTGTACGCAAGACACTTTTCTAAGTTCTTTATGTGTATTATTCATTTAACCTTTAAAACTCTAAGAGGCAACAGCATCATTCTTTTCTTTGCAAGTACCTACAGAAAGGGCACGGAAAAGGTTTTGGGTTGTTTTTTTTGTATTTTTCATTATCTTATAACTTTAATTTTTTTTTCACATCTTTATTGGCATATAATTGCTTTACAATGGTGTGTTAGTTTCTGCTTTGGTAAAACCATCTCTTTGAAAGTAATCTGCAGATTCCAGGTATTTTAGAGGAAACGAGTTCAGCAGTTTTCAAACTGTATTTCAATGTTTGTTAGGAACCCCGCTCAGAGATGTGAATTGTTGGAGGATAAAGCCGTAAAGTCTGGGACCCCAACCTGGCTGCAGTCCTATACAAACTCTCTTTCAGTTGTTTCACATTTTGTTTTATGACTAGATGACTGTTGAGACCTGCCTCCAATTGAGGATTCAATGACTACTTCCCTCAATTCTTTTTTAAATTGAGATAAAATTGACACAGAACATTGTGTAAGTTTAAGGTATACAACGTGTTGATTTCATACATTTATATCTACTTCCCTCAGTTTTCAACCTTGACTTCTTACCACTCTCTCTTAGATTCTGCTTGTCTTCTCGTAAACCTTTTCTCTCATGCTCTGCAGAGGTGACTGTGCGATATCCCCCTATGGGATTTAGCTCACTTCAGCTGCGCATCAGAATAATTTCAAAATTGAATGTCTGTTTCCCGGCTTTTTCGCTTCACCTTCTTCATTAGAAACACGATCAGTTCCTGAGTCTCTGACCGACGCAGCATCTGATGGCGGGAAGCTGGAGTGGAGATGAAAGTTGTCACATCCGTTTCAGGAGTCATGTTTCAGTAAAATGCAGACACATCCCCAGAACTGTTGCATAGACACTGGAGAATCTTTGGGTGCCAGGAAATTTGGGCTTGTAACAGAAGTTGTCACCAAACTACAACCTAAATATTCAAGCCTGAAGAAAAGTGTCCTTGAAAGGCTTTACAATGTGGAGCTCACGTGGTCCAAAGTATAGTTTTTAAAACCTGTTCTTCAACATAAATATTTTCTCCTTGGAAAGTCGGTGGTCCTCATGAGCAGACTTCTACCTTTGAGCATCCACATAGTATCAAAACGAACATTCTGCACACAAGGATGGTGGGGATTGCCCACTCTGAGTCTTCTCACAGCAGAATTAACTTATCAACACAGAAGTCTTTAATAAGCCACAAAATGTTTTAGGGCTTTGGGGTTATTCATACCTATATATGCCACTTAACATGTGGGTGAGTTTATGATTCCACCATTAGAAAGGTCTGCACTGTACTGATGGTATTTACTGTTGACATTTATTTTACAAAGTTAATATCGTTTTTGAAGAATGATGCTTAGTTGTGTTCACATTTAAGTGACTGCTTCCAGTCAAAGTTAATGGATCAGATGTGACTAGGTAAGTAAGACAGGCGCTTTGGGAGGACTGTTTGTAGCTTCTCCAGCCCTATTTAATGAGCTGGAAAAGTAATTTACTAGGTTTAATGTAGAGGCTGGAAAAAATTTATTCTAAACCCCCCAAACACTTTATGGCTTGAGACCATAGCTTATTCACCTTGTAGGGTCTGGTACATTGCCTTCTCTAACAATTCATTTTGATCTCTTGAAGATACTGTTGTGCTGTTGGAAAAAGCAATAAGCTAAAGCTCAATTTTTTTGTATGCATAAAATGCATAAAGGGGGAAATAAGCCGGGCAGTCATTCACATTCTAGTATAAATAGCTTTACAGGGGATTTCTACATTCTAAAAAGTAAATGTTTATTTGGAATTGTTGGAAGGTGGGCATTAAAAAGTAAAGGTGATCATTGTGTAATGAATTCTTCCTGGGAGGAGAATGAGTTGAAATCGTCAGCACCAAAGATAATCTTGTCTTGCCTTATAGTTTTTCCCAGGGAAAGTAGGTAGTCATATTGTTGCCGTTTCCAAAGAATACCTTTTTTTGGATAAGTTTAAAAATTGGTGAGCCTGCCACAATTTTCCCACCCTGAGTTTCACCATCTGCCAGGTACCAGGCTCAGCACATAACATGCACTGTCTCATTTAATCTCCTCTCCAGCATTATGAGGTCCATGCTACTAAACAGGCTCTAAATGATGTTTAATCTGCATTTTAGACATTTTAACTCAATCTTCACAACAACCCTCTGATATAGGTACTATTATTTCCCCATTTTACAGATATGAAAACTGAGATACGAAGAGAGTAGTTGACTTGCCCAAGATCCCACGGTCTTGTGGGGATATTGAAGCAAATTGTGGAGCTATGATTTATGTTCAGGCATTCTAGCTCCAGAATATACTGTTGTATATGATGTTATCATTATCAGTGAGGAAACAAGGACAGAGAATAACAACTTGCTCCAAGTTATACAGGTCAGGCAGCCTATAAGCTACATAAACCTACAAAAGCTCAACCCTCATATCATCCTGCACACCTTGTCTTTGATCAGTAAAGCCACACACACTTGCTTCCACCTCAATACAGATCTCACTGTGGTGCTTAGAAAAGATAATGATAAGCATAGAAAGGGAAGAAATTAGCTTTATCATTTATTTAGCTTACTGTTTATTTAGTTTACTGTTTCTTTTCTGAATAAATTGGAGATGGTGGTTTATTATGAGAGAGTTGAATCATCACTGGATTAATTGCCAGTGTCAGACAGTTTTAACCTCGTCTAGAGCAGTGTTTGTTATCTTTAATGACAATAAGAATCACCTGAAGATCTGGTAAAATGCAGATTCTAGTTCAATAGGTCTGGGATGGACCTGAGATTCTGCATTTCTAGCAAGCTTCCAGGTGATGCTGAGCTACTGGAACATGATCTGTGCTTGGAGGACCAAGGCTAGAGCACTGAGCTTTTCCAAACTGATCAGAAAGATTTATCCCAGGGCCCAGAGTTCAAGTGGGAAGGAGGGCATTTTCATAGATGGAAGAACACTTAGGGAGTCTGGTCAGATCAACACTGGGCAGAGGAGGGATGGCTCATGAGATAAGATCTGAGCTACACAGACTCTCAGGCTCGAAAGGAACTTTAAAGGTCATCTGGTCCAAACATGTAGCTGATGTTTGAATCCTCTTGTATCCCTGCCAGGTCATCTCAGCCCTTGAGTTAAGGAAGTATTTTCCATGAAAGGAAATAAACATTCAATTGAACAAAAGAATTTTAAGATGGTGCCTGAATCACAGAAACAATCTAAGAGTGAAAGACTGGGGGAAGGGCTGTGACGTCTCATGCCTGTGCAGACAGACATTTGCCTCCATGGTATATTTTTGGAGCCTTTGGATATTTATTCAAAAGCTTTCAGACCTTTACCGTTTCATAATAAAAACAGTGCACTCTACCAGGGAACCAGCTGGGAGTGCTCATTCCCCTATGCATCTGCGTCCCACTATGAAATAAGAGATTTCAGTGCTGACTGGCAGGTGAGAAACAGTGACAGATGTTTGGCTGCTGGGCTACTTCTTGGCTGCACTGACTGTATATACCAGGGCCCTTGAGAAAACATATTTTCAAGGATCAAGAATCATGCAACCGGGGCTTCCCTGGTGGCGCAGTGGTTGGGAGTCCGCCTGCCGATGCAGGGGACGCGGGTTAGTGCCCCGGTCCGGG